AAAATCAAGTCTTGAGATTTTATTTTCTCTGCTGAAAGAAAATTTTGGCCAATGTTGCTTGTCCTACATCAATTTATTTATACAACGATAATTCTAAATCTTTAATATTCTCCTATTTTTTATGTCTATATTCCTCATATATAATTTGAATCTTACTTCATAAGTTTTAAATTGGTAATAACATGAGTTAATATAAAATATTTTTTTTTATGTACATATTTTGGCAATTTACAAAATTAAATATTATAGGTTTTTAAAAAATTGCATACTTTTCATATATTCATATACTTTAAACAATAGTCAAATTTAAAATATATCAAAATAATAATTTTATATTTATTATTTCTACTGAGGAATATTTGGCTCCTAATGATATTCATATATGCCTAATATAAAATAGCACATAATATCGAATTTACGCTTCTGAAGATGGATAACAAGGTGTAAATAATTATCCTTGTTTAAAAAGATAGTTAAAAAGATGTTTCATAATTATCTTTGTTTAAAAATAAAACAAAATTTATTATTTCTGATATAAAATTCAACGAAAAAGTTACCAATCAAAATTAATTAATATATTTAAACCAACTTCATTTTAAATCGCAGATCCATCGTGTAATCTGAAACCTGATTGTTCAAACTTGTTTCAGAGAAAGAAAATGCACGATTTCGTTGTTTTTGGCGACAATTTGAAAATGGGAAATCAAAATGGAACATTTTGCTGTGCAACTACTGAAAAATTATTTGATATATCATCTGATATATATTTTTACGGCAAAGAAACTTTCAAATTATGGCAGTGTCAGAATTGATTTGGTAAATTTCACTACTGATGGGAGTATTAAATCGTTCTTGAAACTTTTCTTTTCGTTCGAAACAGATAAGAATCGTTTTGAACGCAAAATCATAAAGTTGTCTGAAATATGGCAAAAGATAATCCAATAAAATGGTTCAATATCTAATGAAAGTTTTGTTTCTCATGAAAAATTCGCGTTTCACTTGCACACAGAAAAAACGCAGTTACTTTTTGGCTAATATTTTGTGTATATTTCACGTCGAATGTTCTAGTTTGCGCATGTCACAGCAATACTATTTACACGATGTGTAAACTATGGTACTTGAAATATCTGCTACGTATCGATATTGCACTTTGGTTTATTACTTGTAGATAACAAACGATATCGAAGCAAGTTTGATCGATTTTTCCCAAGAGTTTAGGAAATAATGGCTTTCAGCCAGCCTTGACAAGCGACGTAGCTCGATCAAAATTGCCCGTTTTTTAATGTACCGTTAACTATTCCAAGTTTATTCGCGTCTGCATACCAGTTCTCATCACTTTAACTTTCCACCCAAACATTCCAGAACTTTTCCTATTTTCCCTACCCTAGTTAGAACTATTGCATTTGTACATTTTGCAACGTCGTAACACATTTTGTAACATCAAACACATTAAAGTTAGCATCATCAATCATTCAATTCAAATTATCCTTTGCGAGTTTAAGTATCCGACGAGCTGATTTTGCCGCGAGGTTTAACATATTCGTGTCAGACGACTTATTTGGGTTCTTCTTGTTTGTGTGATTTTTTTTTTTTTTAATTTTAATATTAAACAGAAATAATTAAACCGTAACATTTTATTTGTATAAAACTAGAAGATATGATTAATTGAGAGAAACTTCTGAAAGTAAATTGAAGAAATTTGGAATTGTATTTCGTTATAACGCAAAAAAAGTAAAAATATGTAATAAATATATAAAAAGATATAAAGGAAATCCATTATTAAATTTTTCAATTTAAAAATATCAAAAGTTTGGAAGTACTTACAATTTAAAAAAAGTATAAATTATTATGCAATGATCTATGACTTTTCTCTACATTTTTCCGAAGAATATCTATTTGTTAGAGAATTATGTCTTTCTTTTAAACATAACTTCCGCAAAATTTCATCACTTTATCCGGACGCAGTTTAATTAACAAAGTAAGCAAATTTTCTTTCAAACAACTACAAAATAGAATTTAAATAGAGATTATTATTTCATTCTTTGAATACTATAACAAGTACAATACTTTACTACGAATATTTATTTCTTATTAAGCATATTAGTTTAACATATTTAAATTTAAATCTCTTA